GTGCATTCCATGTCAACTCTATTGATTAGCTCCTGCAGTTAATGTCTGGAACATATTAATATAAGTGTAAAGGCGCGGTTGATTCGCTCTATTTGTTGTTGTTGTATTCTATAGCTGTATACTGCTCACTTGCAGCTATGGTTTTTCATATATTCTGTCGTACACGTTGGCCACGATGTGCATGAGATTCTTGTGCACGGTTCTCTTCTGACCTCATTCTCCGATCTTCATTTATTTGACTAGTTTGTTTTCCCGATATATTAACCCTTGCAATTGGTTTGTGTCTTGCAGCTTGGCAACGTGCAGGTTTTTACCTTTTAAAGGTTTACTTTTCTTCGTGGCATTTTACAAAAAATGATACTTAATATGCTATAAAACAATTAAAAAAAATAATTAAATAAAATCAAGACGAGAACCAAAACTTCAAAGAATAGTAAAGGACAAAAAGTTAAGGGAAAGAAAGCTTACTTTTCACTCGCTCATGTGTTCCGCCCCAAAAAAAACACACTGGAGATCGAATATGTTGATCTACAAAACTATTATTAGGCCAATAGTATGTTATGGATGCGAGACATGGGTGATAACAGAAGACACAAAAGAAAAGCTAAAAGTCTTCGAAAAAAAAAGTCTTAAGGAAGAGATTTGGACCTATTAACGAAAACGGAGTATGGAGATCCAGGTACAACCATAAACTCTACCAACTGTTCAAAGAGGAAATAAAATCTCAGATCTCGAAACTGATGGGCTGGTCATGTAGTAAGAATTGAGACCGAAAGAATGCCAAAAAACATAGATAGCAAAATGCAGGGCTCAAAACCAAAAGGAAGAAGACAAGTGCAAAATTTGCTATACGTGAGAACCTAGAGAAGATCGGCACGGGAGCGGCAAGGTTAGAGGCATAGTTTTAAGGAAGTCAAGGCTCGATTTGGGCTGTATCGCCATTGGAGAGAGGGAAAATCAGGATAAATATAAAAATAAACTAAGTAAAATCCACATTGTTTATATATTTTATTCTAATATTTTACAGAATTTTATGACAATAAACTAACCTACAAATTACCACTGAAAATAATCTTAAGTAACAGTATAAATAATACACAAAACTTAATTAAAATTTGCTTACTGTTATTAATAATATATAAAGTAACGCACGGCAGAATAAGAACAACAGAATAACAAAAGCAGATTAACTAAGTTAGTTACGTTTTGACAGACTGGAAGTACCTGCAAACTAACAATAATTTACTACTAACACTTGCAAAATACAACTGCGTGAAACAATACATCAAAGGTTTAATGCTTATAATTTTGAAATTGTACAATGGTCTTTGTATAAGATTTGTATATATATATATTCGGTTTTATAACGTCTTATAACGTTGTCCGACTCTTAAACGCCACTGTATTCTGTCTTGAGTTAGGTCTTCGTCCAGATTTTGAGCGCTAATCGCTTTCCTAACTCCCAGGTTCCAGCTCTGTGGTGGTCTTCCTCGTTTCCTCTTCTCTGAGCTGTTTTCTCTCAATATCCTCAACTATAGTGCCCTCTATACCCATTTGTTGTTTTATCACTTCATTCCGTATTCTGTCGGCTCTTGATATTCTCATCGATCTTCTGATGGCATCCATTTCCGTGGCTTCGACCTTTTTCTTATATTTCTCGGTTATTCTCCATGTCTTAGCTCCATAAAGTAGGCTAGTTTTAACCATTGTCTCATAGATGTTCCATTTTCTTTTCTTTGATATCTCTTTACTCCACAGAACTCCGTTCAAACATGCTATAGCTCTTCGTGCTTGTACACAATTCGATGTTCTAGTTCTCGTTCGTCTTTTCCACTATGGTCGAAGATGACGTCCAGGTATTTATATTCGTCACATGGATTTATTTTTTGATTGTCATCGATATCGAATTGTTCTGCTTCAGCTCCAATTGAGAGGTATTTTGTCTTTTCTAAATTGATATTTAATCCCCATTTCTGGTATTCTTTAATTAGTTTTCTAAGCATGTATTCCATGTCGTCTTTGTCATTTGAGATCACCACCTGATCATCTGCAAACTGTAAAGTAGATATGTAATTATGATCGTTCAATTGTATACCCATTCCTTTGACTTTCCTTTTCCATGTTTCAGAGCTGCAGAGATATAAATCTTAAATAGAGTCGGAGAGATACAACATCCTTGTCTGAGACCCTTAGTAACTGCAAATTTTTCAGTTAAGAGGTTTTTGAATTTCATTTGGGAGTTTGAACCATAATATAGATCTTTGAGAGCACTAACCAATGTTTGATGTATGTTTGATGTACCCAGGACTTCCCATAGTTTATTTAGCAGGAATGTGTCGTATGCCTTCTCAAGATCTACAAAAGTCATATGTAACTCTCTATTTGGCACAACTTTCATTTCTATAATTTGTTTAAGACAGAAGATGTTATCTGTACATGAACGACCTGCTCTAAATCCTCCTTGTTCTTCGTCTTCAGACGATTGATAATCTTCCTCTATCAGGTCCCGTAATATTAGACCGTATAGTCGACTCATTGAACTTGTGACCGATATCCCTCTATAGTTTTTACAATTTCTCCTGTCACCTTTTTTCTCCTGTCACCGTGATCATTCTGTGTAATTTCTCTGAGCCATTCTTTATTAATTCCGTAGTTACTTCCTCTAGTCCACTTGCTTTCCCATTTTTCATCCCTGCTATAGCTTTTTGAACTATGTTGATATCTATGGTAATATGCTCTCCCAGAATTTAGATTCTTGATGAATTCATATCTTCTTTAAATTCGTCTCTGTTCTCATTTAATAGATCTTTGTAATAATGTGTCCAATCCTCGGGATTTATGGGATTTAGATTCACTTTCTCGTTAGTCAGCTTCTTAACAGAGTTTATAAACTTTCACGCCTCAGTGCATTGTCGTCCTCCAATATAAGATTCTATCTCTCAGCACCTTCTGTCCCATGTCTCATTTTTGGAGGTCATAATTATCTTTCTAGTTTTCTTCTTCATTTCATTGTATCGGTCTTTGTCTGCGTCATTTTTTGTATTCAATCACTTATTGTATAATCTTTTCTTTTCTGTTACCGCATTTTTGACGTCTTCATTCCACCAAAGCTTGTTACTAATTTTATTTTGTTTGATTCCTAAGACCTCATGAGCTGTTTGATGAATACTTGATATTATGTTCTCATATATGCCTTTGGTATTTGTTAGTGTTTAGTCAAGTTTGGAGTCCATTCGAGTCTTATATAGTGTACGGGTGCTCTCATGAATTAAACTGGACAGATTGTATTGAGGAAGATCAATTCTTTCTAAAAGTTGTTGTTCGTCTTGGCTTGATGAGACACTGTCCTTTAATCTATATGGGAAAACAATTTTTGCCCTGACCATATGGTGATCTGATCCGCATACTGCTCCTCTCATAGCTCTAATATCTCTAATGAGTATTTGTGAATTTTGTTTAACTATCACGTAATTTATTATAGACTTAAGATTCCTTGTTGGTTGAAACCATGTATATTTGTGTATGTTTTTGTGACAGTAATATCCGTTAGTTATTTTGAGTCTATTACTTTCACAGAGATTGATAAGTCTTTCTCCGTTATTATTTACGACGTCTTCTCCATAAGGTCCAATTACATTGTTGTGGCGCTTGTTTCCTGTTCTTCCATTAAAATCGCCTAATAAAAATATTTCTCGGTTATTTCCAACTCTAGTAATAACTTCGTTTTTAAGATTTGTATTTACAAATAGAAAAATTACTATTTAGAAAATAACTTTTGGGCCATCACCATTTGTTTGGTGTATGGTAACAAAATTAATAAATAAAATAAAAATTTTGAAAACTAAATATCTAAATGTTTTTTTCAGAAATATTGCAAAATTAATATACCAAGCCAGAACGTTAAGAAGAAATTACATCGATTTTTTTGTATTCTACGGTAATTAAAAAGTTAAAGAAGAAGTAAAATATAATTACACATGACGACAAACCTGAGACCTAGAAAACACACTATACTTTTTTGAAGGTCTTTGATGCGCTAAATACGAATCTGAGCTCCAAAGGGCCGAGTTGGCTCTGATTTCTGAGATATCCTAACCTAAGAGTGCAAAAATAGCGATTTTTGGCAATTACGCATATTGTTTACATTTGTACATTATATTAGGATGCTACTTAACCTCAAAAACGGCCAAAACCCGCTATTTTTGCACTTTTAGTTTAGGATATCTCAAAAACCAGAGTCAATTTAATAATTTGGAGCCCCGATTCGGATTAAGCGCACAAAAAAAACATTTTAACAAGTATATTCTAATCTCTTGGTTTGAATATTGCTCAAATTTTGTTGGTCTGTGTTATTTTTACCCATAGATTCCGTGGATTCCGTTAAATGTTATCTAGCTTATTTATTTATTAGTTTTCAACCAGCAGTTCTGCTCCAAAACACATATAATTGCCTGCAAACAGCTAGAAAAAAAAAGAATGCTTTAACAGTTACAAGACTCGTACAAGAAGAATTAGATAAACGCTTTTCTATCAAATCCCATTTAAGTTCCTGTCGTTCTTATCCGATGTTGCAACCTAGGTAGCCAAAGTAGGATAACATAATAAAAAATTTTTAATAATTAGTTTGTTATTTTTGTAAATACCTCTTTTGTATTAGATATTGGAGCGGTATTTTTTTAATATGTTAAAAAAAATGTTGATATGCAAAAATAATATATTTTTTGAATATTTTGGTAAATATGCTTGTACATATTTGCACATTTTTTATCAATTTATTTTGTTCATATTTGCTCATCTTTACTCATAAACAATGTAAAAAAAATTTCAGTCTACAGTTAAACAAATTCAATTTAAAATTCCGGCCTCTTGCAGTAAACATACCGACCGAAGACGTGGTCTCCGGACACCGTGCAATCCAGTGGCGGGGATCAACGTCTATAAAGAACGAGAACCACCCGCGAAGAACCCAGTAAATCGTAGTATCGTTGCTCCACAAAAACATGAAGAGGTTCGCGTGTTTAATAGTGCTCAGTGCACTCTTCTCAGCTGGTAAGGACCTCCTAGTGCTCTAACGTCCTTCCCAAGGATTAATTGTGACCTAGTGAATTCTACTTTTGGAAAACAGTGTTGGCTTAACAGGTTTGAGTGAAAAGTGTGATTTGGATGAGAGAGTGCATGTTTTGCATCCCGGGAAACCGTGTAAATTTTTATATGCGATGAATTAACAGTTTTCTTCAATTATATGGGAATGGCAGCAACAAAAATATACTTCTGACATTAATATTATAATAATATTCACGTTAAACACTCATCATCTGTTTTATTTTATTATTTCCATTTATTTTTGGGGCCAACTTTATTTGCACCGCTTTTGACGTGTAAAAAAATGTCAAATATTTATTTATTTTGACTTTTAGCAAACAGGGAAATTGCTTGAATGTAAAAATATTGGCAAATTGCTTTTTCAGTTCAATAGCTATTTATTGCAACAAAATTGTAACACTACATTTTTTAACATTAACAAAAAGTTTTATAATTCTACTAGAAATTTTAAAACAATTATCAAACTAAAACAGATTATTTTGTTTCCTAATTAGAAGTTTTGATCCTTTCTAAAAATTGAAGAATATTGTTACTTTTTTATATAATTTAATTTTTATATCTAGATTTTATTAACAATTATTAATTTATTTTTTGTTACTTCGTCAGAGTACCTTCCTTTTTTTATATATTTATGGCGAGATGTTTATAAAAAGTTGATATAATATTTCTTACTTAAAAGATTAGTAAATAATAATCTTTCTATTTTTGCATATTTTCTTTTTTCTATTTATAACTTTTTTTGATATTTTAAATGTAATGTTAAAAAATTTAAATATCTTTATTTTGTTTACTTATTTGAATTTTACTTTTTTTTCCTCTTTTGTCTTAATATAATTCGCAAAATATTTTAATAATAGACGACTTATAATATAAAAACGGACTGTTTTCCAAAATTTTACTAAAATAATTTTTTCATCAAATGTTTCTCTACTAATAAGAAATTTTTAATTTTTATTCCTTGGCAGTTTAATAATATTTACTATTTTTATTGGGAATTGGCCACAATTTTAGTTAAAAATGCGTTTATTCTGACGTTTCGATTTCCATTTCGGAAATCTCCATTTCCATTCCGAAATTTCCATTTCGGAAATCGAAACGTCAAAATTACTGAGGTTTTTGAATACATAAACTAATGCGTGGCAAACTGCTGTTATTTTGGCCTAGGCCCTCAACTAAGAGCAAAAATTGTCAAGACAACAAAGTACCAACTTTATAAAACAATAATACGTCCAGTGCTCACTTAAGGAAACATATGCAATGACAACTCGAGATGAAGAGTTACTACAAATATTTAAAACAAAAATTATGAGGACCATAAATATATACGAACCGATTCTGCGGAGAAGGTGATACAATTTCGAAGTCAATAGACTTGTTGGTGATGAGATATCGTGATAAAGATCAAAATAAATCGCCTAGTTGGGTTGGCCACGTAATGCGGATTCTTCTTCTTCTTCTTGATGTGCCTATCCGTTACGAATGTTGGCGATCATCATGGCAATCTTTGTTTTATCTGCAGCAGCGCGGAAAATCTGCACATATGTTGTATTGAACCAGATTCTGAGGTTCTTTAACCAAGATGTTCTTTTTCTTCCTGGACCTCGCTTTCCAAATATTTTTTCCTTGCAGGATGGCTTGAAGGAGAGCATATCTGGATTCATTTCGCATAATATGTCCAAAGAATTGTAATTTTCGGGATTTAATGGTGGTCAGTATTTTTCGGTTCTTATTCAAACTTCTAAGGACCTCCTTATTTGTGACTCGGTCAGTCCACGGGATCTTCTTACTTTTGTTGCATTAAGAGAGAGGTTGTAACTCTTGAAGAAGGCTCCCATCTGATTGAAGATTGATCTAGCTTTTCCGATCCGTGCTCTAATCTCCTGGTTGTTGGTCCATTCTTCATTTATTATGGTGCCGAGGTAGTTGTAACGCGTCACTCTTTCTACGAAGATTGGTTGATGTAGAGTTGACCTTCTGTTATCCTTTTCTTGCTAATTATCATAAGCTTTGTCTTTTTAACGTTTAGTTTGAGTCCATATTGTTGACTGTAATAAGTGATTTTGTTCATAAGAACTTGTAGGTCTTTTAAGTTATCCATAAATACTGTGGTGTCATCTGCATATCTGATGTTGTTTAGCCGGTAACCATTTAGTAGAATACCTTTTTCAGTTTTGTGCAAAGCTTTGATAACTATTCTTTCAGAGTACAGTTTGAAGATTAGAGCAGACAAAATACAGCCTTGCCTCATTCCATGCATGATTTTCACATAGTCAGTGTGTTCACCTTCGACTCTGAGATTTTCTATCTGATTCCAGTAAAAATTTCAAATTATTTTCAGATCTTGGTTGTTCATTCCTGCTTCTTTTAGTATTTGCATCATCTTTATTTTGCAGCATAGATAAGACTAATCCTGCTAAAATAACAGATTTAAGGGATATTGAAGTAAGGGGATGGAGTAAAATGACACTCGACAGGAAACGATGAAAGAATGTTTTGAGGCAGGCCAGGTCTCAAGAAGAGATGGAGCGTCAACTGTTAATGATGAAACTTTAATTTTGGTATAGTGAAATTTCTATTTTTAGTAAAGGAAATCAGAAAATCAATTATTATTAGAAAGAATGATTTAAAACTAAATGATTCTCAATTAAAGAAATGGTTGTATTGCAATAATAACTATACAATATGATCCTATTGGGTTGGTTGGTATTCCAAGGTTATACTTAATAAAAATGAATGTACAGTTGCTATATTTTTCATAGTAACTTATTAGCAACATTACTGTTTGTTTCGTATACTTTTTAAAATTCGTTCCGGCTTTTACATATTTTTACCGATTCTAAAATTTTAAAATTTTTTGCATTCTATATCAACTTTTATCGACCGGATTTAGCATACATTTGAGAAACTTTGAAATGAGATATATATTTTTTCTTCTTCTTCTTCTAGTTCCATGACCGCTATCGATCGTTGGATATCATGTTGGCTACCATATTCGCTATCGTGACTTTATTGACAGCAGCTCTAAATAACGATGTAGTTGATTTTTAATACCATTGCCTTAGATTTTTCAGCCATCATGTTCTTCTTCTACCAGGACCACGATTACCTTGGATCTTTCCCTGAATGATCAGATGTAAAAGATCATATTTTTCAGGGTGTCTCATAATATGACCGAAGTATTCCAGCTTGAGTTTCTTTATTATATTGACCAGTTGTGTTATTTGGTTCAACCGTCTAAGGACCTCCTCATTTCTAACTCTGTCGACCCAGCTTATTTTCAGTAGTCGTCTGTATACCCACATCTCAAAGGCTGTCAAGCGTTTAAGCATAGCCTCAGTTAGGGTCCACGCTTCTACTCCATACAGCAGGACAGGAAAGATGTAGCAAGATATCATACGAACTCTAAGGTCAATGCTAAGATCATGACTGCAAAGTACGTTTCTCATTTTTACAAAGGCAGCTCGGGCTTGTTCTATTCGGCTTTTAATTTCTGCGGTTGGATCCCAGCTCTCATTGATATTACTGCCGAGATACACGAGTTTCTCTACTCTGTCCAGTGTGGCATCTCCGACTTTTATACCGTCATCATGTATATAATTTTGTTTGCTAACTATCATATATTTAGTTTTCTTAACGTTGAGTTGTAATCCATACTGATCACAAGTCTGTTTTATTTTGTTCATTAGATTTTGAAGGTCTTCTCCGCAATTGGCAAGGACTAAGGTATCGTCGGCATATCTAATATTGTTGACGGTTACTCCATTCACAATAATACCTTCGGTTGTCTCCATTAAGGCTTCCTTAAATATTTCCTCCGAATATAAGTTAAAAAGTAAAGGCGACAATATACAGCCTTGTCTCACTCCTCTTTTTATATTTATTTCATCCGACAGTTCTTGTTCAACCTTTATTCTTGCCACTTGATGCCAGTATAGATTTGTAATTATTCGTAGATCTTTATCGTCCAATCCAGCTGTTTCCAATATTTCTAGCATTTTGTGCATGTCGGACTTTGTCAAAAGCTTTTTCAAAATCGATTGCACAAATATACACATTTTGATTTATATCTCTGCATCTCTGTACTAGCACCTGTATACTAAATAAGGCTTCTCTTGTACCCAAGCCACTCCTAAACCCAAATTGAGTATTGCGAATTCTGTCCTCTAACAGCGTGTAAATTCTGCTGTGTATTACTCGCAGAAAGATTTTCAAAACGTGACTCATCAGACTTATTGTCCGATAATCACCGCATGTCTTTGGACGATGTTTCTTAGGTATTGTGACAAATGTCGACTTTAACCAATCAGTTTGTAATATCCCAGTGTCATAAATTCTGTTAAAGAGATTACACAGAGCTTTAATTCCATTTTCTCCCAAAAACTTTAGTATTTCAGCACTTACTTCATCGGGGCCAAGTGCTTTTCCATTTTTTGCCGTTTGTATTGAACGTCTTACCTCACTTTCGGTTATAGATGGACCTGATATAGCAATCGGTGTATAGTGTTCTACTCTCTCATCTTCAAATAATTCAGAAATGTAGTTTTCCCATTCTTTTAACTTTTCATTGATGTCTAATATTCTGTGTCCGTTTCTGTCTTCTAAACTTTGGGATACTTGTTTCCATTTGTTTCCAGCGACCTCTTTCAATTTCTTGTGCAGATGAAATGTATCGTGTTTCTTTTCATATTGTTCAATTTCATTACATTCTTTACTATGAAATTGTGTTTTCGCGTGTCTTATCTTCTGCCTGATTATTGCGTGGATCCTCTTGTATTCGTTTTTATCTTTATTTCTGACTTCTCTTCTTTGATCCATAAGTCTCAGTATTTATTCTGTCATCCACCCTTGTTTTTTCTTGCTTTTAGCGCACTCAATTTTGTTTCTTGAACAGTCTTTAAGATGTCTTTAATTCTCGTCCAGTTTTCCTCAGTACTTTCTTCTTTGCT